TAAGTATCGTCATAAATTTCCTTCTAAGCCAGTAGTTCTCACACTTGATGCATAGGAATCACCTAGAAGGTTGTTAAAATAGATTGCTGTGCCCTAATCCCTGATTTTCTTATTGATTATGTCAGGATTGGTGCCAGGGAATTTGCATTTTTAAAAAGCTTCCAGGTAATGCCAATTGATGCTTTAGGGAACCACTGTTGAGAATGACTGCTTTAAGTACTGCTTTAGCTGTATCCCACACATTTTGAAATGTTGCATTTTTTGTTTCCATTTAGTTCAAAATGTTTTCTATTTTTTTGTGTGTTTTTTTCCTTTGGCTCCTGGGTTGTTTAGTAGTATTTTGTTTGATTCAAATATATGAAGATTTTCCCGATATCGTTCTTGCCATTATTTCTTGTTTAATTCTATTATTGTCAAAGACTATGTTTTTTACAGTTAAAATTTTTCTTAAGTCTTATTTTCTGACCCAGAATATGGTCTACCTTGGTGAATGTTACATGTGAATTTGAAAAGATCTGCATTCTGCTCTAGTTGGTTGGGGTGTTCTATAAATGCCAATTATATTATGGTTGATGGAGTTATTCACGTCTTCTATATCTTTATTGATATTCTGTTCAGTATTTTTCTTAGTTCTTGAAAAACCAGTATAGAAACCTCCAGTTATGATTGTGGATATATCTATTTCATTTTTAAGTTCTATTAGTTTTTGCTTCACTCATTTACTTATTTTTAATTTTTTAATATATAATTAAAATTAATTAATTTTAATTGAAGTATAGTTATTTGCAGCGTTGTGTTAGTTTCAGGGGTAGAGCAAAGAGATTCAGTTATGTATACATATATATCTATTTTTTTCAGATTCTTTTCCCTAATAGGTTCTTACAAAATATTGAGTATAGTTCCCTGTGCTATACAGTAGGTCCTTGTTGGTTATCTATTTTACATGTATGTTTCACTCATTTAGATGTTCTGTTACTGGGTGTTTACACAATTAGAATTGTTGGTTCTAATGATAAATTGTCCTCTTTCAGTCCCAGTTTCCTTCTGTTGTCGTTTCTGCCTGAAGAACTTATTTTAGTATTTCCTTTAGAGTAGGTCTGCTGGCCATGGATCAGCTTAATTTTTTTTACATCTGAGAATCTATTCATTTTATGTTCATCACTAAAGAATATTTTTGCTAGGTATAGAATCCTGAGTTATAGTTATTTTTATAGTTATAGTTATTTTTCAGCACTTCCTTCTCTCCTGCATGGTTTCTTAGGATAAAATCATAGTCATTAACTGTTGTTCCCCTATAGGTAATTTGTTATTTTTCTGTAGCTGCTTCTGAGATGTTTTCTGCACTTTTAGTTTTCAGCGATTTCATTGTGGTGTGAATTTCTTTGAATTTATCCTATTCATGGTTTGCTCAGCTTCTTGAATCTGTGGGACTATTAATTTATTAAGTACTTTTAAATTTTACTTTTGTAGAGGTTACTCTAGAGTTTACAATATGCTTATTTATCTTTTCAGATTCTACCTTTAATTAATGTTCTACCACTTCACATATAGTGTCAGAAACTCTGACTAGTATCCCTGCATTTCCCTCTTTTAATATCATATCTCGTATGTTATGAAGACCATAACAAATTGTTATACTTTTTGTTTTGGACACTTAATTATCATGTACTGAGAGGGAAGATGAGAAATGACACCTTTAATATCTACCCACATATCAGATATTTCCTGTACTCCTCATTCATCTCTATAAATCCAGATTCTGGCTGGTTTCAAGTATCATTTTCATTCAGCTTAAACTTATTTTGGTCACTTTTTTATAGGGCAAGTCTGCAATAATATATTCTCTCTGTGGGCTTTTTTTTCCTTTATCTGAAAAAGGTTTTGTTTTACTTTCACTTTTGGAAAATATTTTGTGGGATATAGAATTCTACTTTGATAGTTATTTTTTGGTATAGAATTCTGGGTTAATAATTCTCAGTAGTTTAAAAGTGTAACTTCACTGTCTTCTGACTTGCATGCTTTCTGTTGAGAAGTCAAATGGCATTCTTATTTTTGTTCTGCTTGTGCATCTTAATCACTTCATGCTATTCCTTGGCGTGGGTTTCTTTATTTCTTTTTTTTTCTCCTGCTTGTATACCATTGACCTTCTTTGTTTTGTGGATTTATAGATTTCATTAAATTTGAGAAACTATTTTTTCAAACATCATTTCTGTCTACCTTACCACCACACTTCTTGGACTTCTATCATAGTAGATTAGACTACTTGACATTGTCATACAGGTCCCTGATATTCTGTTCATTTTTTTTCAGGGTTTTTGTTTGTTTTTTTCTGTGCTTCATTTTGGATAGTTTCTATTTCTATATTTTAAATTCATTGTTCTTTTCTCCCAGAGTATCTAACCTTGTGTTAATTCTATACAATGTATTTTTCATTTCCAGGAGTTCTGTTTGAGTCTTTTTTATCTTCCATTTTTCCCTTATCATGTTCATGTTTTCTGTAACATTATTGAACATATTTGAGTATATTTACAATAGCTTTTTTACAGTAGCTTTTAATTCTATCATCCTTGTTATTTCTGTCTCGATTGATTGATTTTTCTTCTTGTTATGGGTCATATTTTCTTTGCCCTCTGTGCCTGTTAATTTTTTAATGCATTTTGAGCATTGTATGTTTTTACCTTGTTGGCTGCTGGACTTTGCTGTATTCCTTTAAAGAGTGTTGGACTTTGTACTAACATGGGGTTAAGCTTCCAGTGTAAGCATTTTGGGGGATTGCTTCTGAGGTCTGTTAAAGTGGATCCAGAGCAACTTTTAGTTTATGCCATCATTGTTTTTAAGAACAAATTGAAACCTAAATGAGTCACAATGTAGAGTTACTTAAATAAGTTATGTATCATCAATACAATGGAATTTAGCTGATAAAAAATGAAAAATGGGACCTGAAAAGATGTCCCAGATGTTAAGTGAAAAAATAGTTGTAAAATAGCATGATTTTTTGGTACAAATATTTACAGGTATGTATGTACATGCAAGTCATATACATTTGTTTTGTATATTGTAATAAAATATTCAGAATTATAGTTTGAAAATATTCTGAACATAACAATTTGTGAAAAATACCTCTAGATAGTGGGCTAGAGCAGAAGGTAACATTCACTTTTGCATTATACAACGTTTTATTGCTACAATATTTTTTGATAAGAAGTATGTTTATCTTTTTTTGTTAAAAAGAGAGTGAATAAAAACATGAAAACCTTCAGTTTGGCTATATATATATATGGCTTTAATAAGTGTTTGAAGTATATTAAAGAAATTGTTCCTAAGTTATTATTAACTTCATTCTTTGGAAATTACTTCCAAAATGTAATGCCCATTAGTTGCAAGAGTACTCTGAAATTTCTTCAAATATGTTTAGTTTTCTCTAAGTAAAATTGACTTTAACAACCCTTTTTGATACTTCTTTTATACTTCTTTTATGACTACTTTTATGACTGTTGAAGTATCACATTCTACACTACCTTAAAATTGTGTAAGTGTGAAGAATTTTTAAGTATCATCTTTATTTTCTGTTATTTGCTTTGAGTATTTTCAGTGAGTTGTCTAGTATGACAAAGTTGAGGTGAAAAGTTAGGGGGAAGATGGAAGTGTGGTCTGGGTGGATATTTAAAGACTAATAATAGATTTCTGTAGAGTTGCTCTTTATAATCTAAATTTTTTAAGGGCAAGGAGATGTGTATTTTCATCTTATTTTTAAAAACATGTCTTTCATATGATTGGGGCTTGTTTTAGTGAATTTGCCATAGAGATAAGAGTCCCTTCTAGATATATCAAGCAGAATGGGAACTTAATATAGGGAGTTAATTACCAAAATACTAGAGACACCAAAATGAGGGGATCGCCCAGAAATCTGGAGCTGCTACATACCCAGGCTGGAGCTTAGGACCACATCTGTAATTGAGCTACTTACTGTAGGTGCTACTGCTGCCACTGCGCAGGTGGTACCCCTGCTGCTGTTGCTATAAAACCACCACTGCCGTTACCTACTGTAGTCACCTACCTGTTCCTTCTGTTAGAGAAGAAAGCAGAATCTTTCTTCCTTTTGCCTTCTAAGCTCTCCCCAGTACTTTCATTGGTGGAACCTGATGGTAACACATCTGTCAGCAAGTCTTGGAAATTTAATTTTTAGGTTTTTATCAATAATACAAAGCACTCTTAGAAGGGACAGTGGGACTCATAACCAAGAGATAAAAGACCAGCAGAGTGCTAAAAATGGTTAAGGGCAAGAGTCATATCTTAATTTTAGTCTTTGTAATATCAGTGACTAAACTCAGAGCCTGTGACATAATAGGCTCTCATAAACTATTTGTTAAGTCTTTTTTTTCAGATTTGTTTACAAATACAGAAATGTATGTGAGAATAAAGTTTTCATTTTCTCTCTCACATACAAAAATTAGGTATTTTCAATATTTCAGAGTTTAATTAAAATTTGCAAAAAGACCAGTCTTACTTACCTTCAATCCCTAGCACCCAACATAGTAACTAACTAGCACATATTTATTTATTTTTAAAATAAATTTATTTATTTATTTTGGATGCGTTGGCTCTTTGTTGTGGTGCGCGGGCTTCTCATTGTGGTGGCTTCTCTTGTTGCAGAGCATGGGCTCTAGGCACACGGGCTTCAGTAGTTGTGGCACGTGGGCTCAATAGTTGTGTCTCACGGACTCTAGAGTGCAGGCTCAGTAGTTGTGGCACATGAGCTTAGTTGCTCCGTGGCATGTGGGATTTTCCCAGACCAGGGATTGAACCCGTGTGCCCTGCATTGGCAGGCAGATTCTTAGCCACCTAGCACATATTTAATAATGTTTTTTAATTAAATGATTATTAGGTATACTTTACTCATAAAATGTGGTATGAGAATGAACTTGTTGGTAGTTTGGTGGTATATTAGTTTTATTTCTAAATACTATTTGAGTTCATGATTTATCTTCTTTCTCTTACAGCATCAAACACTTGGCTTGTTCCGGAAACTAAAGGAGCTATTGTTCAAGGTGGATATGGCCATACCAGTGTGTATGATGAAATAACAAAGTCCATTTATGTTCATGGAGGCTATAAAGCATTACCAGGCAACAAATATGGATTGGTAGATGACCTTTATAAGTATGAAGTTAACACTAAGACTTGGTGAGTAGATTGGGCAGAAGTATGTTGTACATCTTGTACTGGTCATTTCACATATGCCAGAGTTTCTCTAGGGTACATACCTAAAAGTGAAATTGCTGTATGTGAGGATATTCACATCCTTAACTTTACTACCTGTTGCCTAATTGCTTCTCAAGTCACTGTGATAATGTACACTTCCACCAGCAGGGTATAAGTGTCCTTGTTTCTTCGTAGTCTCACCAATGCTTGGTAATTATGAGGATATTTTCCTTTTGCCAGTGCAGTGGATGTGAATGGTATTGTACTGATATTTTAATGTGCATACCCTGATTGCTATAGTGAATAAGCATATTTTTATGTGTTCATTTGCACTCGTGTTTTCTATTTAGTGAATTGCTTATTGATTTTTCTAGGTATACAAGTTTTAAAATAGAATTTTTATTGTACTCATTTTCTTTTGTAGGGCCTGGGAAGTGACCCCCTTTTTGTTTTTAAACACTAAACATTCTTTTAAACTTATATGAAATTACTTTATGTGTTTAAATGAAATACAGTTTTCCACCAAATTGTGATTTGTTCTGTCCTCTTCACTGTCACTTTCAAACATATATTCTAATTTACACTTTATTTAAAAAAAGGAAGATGAAATTAAAAAAATGAAGACTTTTCCTTTGGGTAATTTTCCTAATTTTCATTTTTTTAGTTTAATAAAATGCAGTATTATATTTTAGTAGATAGGCTACCTTGCTGAGCTATTAGTAAATGTGTGTTTAGAGAAAGTCTTTTTCAATGGGGAAATGGATTATTCTGGACTACTATTTCCACTGAGAAAAATTAGGAGTTACATCTTTTTAAGGCATCATAGGACTATAAAGACAGTCCTATTTGTTGGTCAAGATTAAGGAGAGATAGAATGAAAAAGGAGGTATGATTGGCATTTTGCACAACTTTTGTCCTTGAGACAATTATAAATCCTGAAAACTGCTTGAGAAACTGAGCAGAGCTTTCGTCAATCAATATAGGGGACCAAAATGGATTTCTAGGTGTGCCAAGGAATAGGGGTCTTGTTACACACTTCACAATGTAGTCTGGTTCCTGAAGTTCTAAACCTATGAGTGAGTATAAACTTACCTTTGAATCATCATGGTCTTTCATTGGTTTTGGTGCTCTGCCCATAGTCTAACTCGTGGCAGAGCAAAAGTAAATCCTCTCTTGAGGAAGACAATATCATACAGAGCCTCAAATTATTTCATATACAATATTTGTTACAAAACAAAAAATAATAAGGTTTAGGAAAAGAAAAGCCATGAACAACCCAGCCATTTGAAATATACCTATAGGATAATGGCATTTTCAGACAGAAATTTTAAAATAATTAGGATTTTATGATGAAGGAATTAAAATGTAAGGTAGGAAAATATTAACAGACAACTGGAAACTTTTACTAAAGAATGAAATGGAAATTATAGAAATGGAAAGTAGATTAAATGAATTAAGAATTCTTTGGATATGTTTACAGCAGGTTAGACACAGCTGAGGGGGGATTAATGAAATGGAAGATGGGTCAGAAGGAAATACCCATGTTGAAATAAAGAAAGACAAAGAATGAAAAATAAAACAGGGAAAGAAATATAAGGGACTTGTGGAAATGTTCTAACATGCATATAATTGAGGTCCAGAAGAAGAGGATTGAGAAGATAATGTGGAGCACTGTTTGAAGTCTTAAATGACTGAGAATTTTCAAAAGTGACAAAGGATAGCTAGCTACAAATTGAAGAAATTCCTTGAGTACCAAGGGGGTGAGTACAAAGAAACTTACACCTAGAAATATCACTGTAAAACTTATGAAAACCCAAATAGAATTAGAAAAGCAGCCAGAGGGGAAAAACGCATATTCTCTTTAAAGAAGCAACACTAAGACTGACAACTGGTTTTTTAACTGAAAAACCGGAATCTAGAAGACATGGTGTCTTCAAATGGCTGAAGGAAAATATCAGTCCAAAGTTCTTCACCCAGTAAAAAACCCTTAAAAAAATGGAAGGAAAACATGGACTTTTCAGAAAAACAAGATGAATTTGACAGCAGCAGACCTGCAATACAGCAAACACTAAATAAATAAAGAAAATGCTAAATAGATCTTCAAAATATTGAAGTCAAAGAAAAATGATCCTAGATACTAGAAGGAAGAGAGAAATGGAAAGGGTATATCTAAGTGATTATTTATTATATAATACTATAATAGTAATAGAGGCTTAAATATATACAAAATTTAAATGGATGATAATAGCAGTACATAAATCAGGAAGAAGGGTAAGTGGTGTTCAACGTTACTAAGGTCCTTGTATCATATGGGAATTGATAAAAAACTAATTTATAGTAGACATTAATAGTTAAGGATTTATATTGTAATCATTAGGTAACAACAAAAAATAAAAGTAAAACACTGTATATCCAACAGGTGAGTAAAGGGAAAAATGAGAATAGTACTTAATGCATTTGGAAGAAAACAAGAAAGGAATAGAAAGGGAACAAAGTAAGGTTGGGAGAAATATAAAGGAAGATGGTATATTTAACTCCAAATATGTCATAATTGTACTAAATGTGAGGAAGTAAATATTCCAGTTACACTGAATGTAGGAGACAAATATTCCAGTCAAAAGCTAAAGATTTTTGGACTGGGTATAAAAATAAAACCTAGCCCTATGCTGCTTAGGAAATATACAAAAAGTATAAAAGTATTTATACATCATTTGGGTTCACTCTAAGAAAATAAGGTAAATTAAAAATTCATAAAATCAGAGTAATTAACACATTAAAAGAATAAAGAAGTGAAGGCATATAATCTTCTCAAATGTTGCAAAGGAAAATTGAGATAAAATTTAACAAGTATTCATGATGAAAACTCAAATACAATAGGAATAGAAGCAAACTATTTGTGTGGTAAAACGTACAAACCAATAGAAAAACTTTATTGCAAACATTATAGTGTAATGTTGAAAAATTTTCCTTTAAGTTTAGGAATGAATAAGAGTGGCTACTATCAGTGTTTCTATTCAACATTGTATTGGCATTTCCAGCCAGTGCAATAATACAATTAAAGTTAAAGGGAATAACAAAGTATAAAAGATATATGGGTAATAGGTTGCTTGATATAAGGTCAATATAAAGAAAACCAATCCAATATAATTCTGTATACCAGGCACAATTAGAAAATGATGATTTAAAAGCAATACAAATTTAAATACAATTTAAAAGCAATACCATAAAAGCAGTACAGTTTATCATCAGAACATCAACAACCTGAGATGTAAATTTAATGACATATACACAGGATCTTTCCATAGAAAACTCAAAAACCATGTGAGAAATTGAAGACCTAAATAAATGGAAGATACATAATGATAATTAATTGAAACAATATTGTAGAGATACCTATTCTGCCCAAATTGATGTTTAGATTTAATGTAATCCCAAAACAAAATTGCAGAAAGTATTTTTCTTATAGAAATTGACATGCTTATTTAAAAATTTATATGAAAATGCGAAAGACCAATCATAGCTAAACCAAAACTTTTAGAAGAACAAAGCTGGAAGACTTCTCTACTAGATTTCATGAATTCGAAGCTACAGTAATTAAGTGTTGCTGCAAAGATAGCGACATAGACCATTGTAGCAAATAGGAGTTCCCCAGACAGACCTACACATTTATTGGCACTTAGTGTAACAAAGTTGGCACTACAGAGTCGTTTTTTCAATAAATTATTCTGGGCCAATTGGTATACAATTGAAAGAAATGAATTTGGGGCCCTGCTTCAAATCATACACAAATTAGTTTCAGATCAATTGTAAATCTAAGTATGGAATGTAAAATAATAAATATTGTAGAAGATAACGGGTAAACATCTTTGCTTTTATTGGCAAAGAAAGACTTTAAAAATAGTATTTAAATAATACTCTTAATAAAGGAAAAATGATAGACTGAACTATGTATGTCTAAAAAATATCACTAAGAAGGTGAAAAGGCAAGCTGCAGTGTAGGAGATATTTGCAACACATAAAGTCAACAAAGGTCTCTATTTCCGAATATGTAGAGAAGTACTACAGATCAACAAGAAAATAATCAGATGACTCAAGAGAAAATGGGCAAGCGACTTGAACAAAAGGATATCCAAATGACCAAAACGCATTTTAAAAGTTGCTCAACCTTATTAGCCACAGGGTAATTTAAATTCAGGTACCACTACACATCCACTTAAATGGTTAAAATTTACAATATTGATAATCCAAGTGTGTATAAACCAGTAGAAGCATTTGAAAAACGTTTTGACAGTTTCTCCTAAATTTGAATACATTCACACACCCATATGTAATGTATATATCCTATGAAATAGTTATTTTAGTTATATATTCAACAAATGCATATATGTATGCAGTACAAATATAGTATACATATATACTATATTTCAGACACTCATTATGCAGAGAAATTGTCAAGGATAAACATCATGAATAGCGTGTTCATCAGTATTTAGTAGAATATAAGTAACTAATAACATATTTATAAAATTGTCTTATATCATTTTCCAAAACCTCTGACAGCTACATTTTTAAGAAATCACAAAAACTTGATAGTTTAATAAACTAGCTTTGAATACTTTAATGTAAAAATAACTCTCATTATACCAAATTTAAGAAGCTAGAAGAAATCACTTCATGTAACCAGATTAGCATTAATATGAAAACATATTTCAAGTATATGTGATTGCAAAGATTTTTTAAAGTACAGAATTAATATAGTACCACTGAAGCACTATCTAAAACATCCTGTATTTATAGGAATTCCCATTTCTCAAAAATGATTCCTTTTGTATTGTTAGGATGTTTTATTAATTAGTACTGTATTATCCTTTGCTAAGAGACTTTTAATTTGCTGTAATGATTTTGAGTACCAGGGCCATTATGGCCTTGATTTGTTAGTCTTGTTAGATGAGGTGTCTCATAACGTTTTTTGCACATATATG